CAGATGATCCTGTTCTACTACAGTCCCCACTGCCACCACCACTACATTGTCTAATTGAATGGAGGTAAGAGCAAATCTGACAATAATTAAGTTGAATCATTTTGAGGTGGCTTTAGTCCCCAAAAAATACACCTAAAAATGTCCATCCTGAGAAATAAGACTGTATGAGTTCTCTCAATTATCTCCCATCTTTCTCTTTTCTTTACTATTCCTTTCCTTTCATCCAGGAAGGTTAGAAACAGCAGACTAAGCCAGCTTCTCTAGAGTCGGGGCCACTGACCATTGCCCAGGATTGGTAAATGTGGGTAGATCTCAGAAAGAGGCTCGCCTCTCAATATTTCCATGACAAACCCGCGCCCAGAGTAGGTCCTATGTTCTGAATTCTGCCAGCACACTGACTGTCCCTGTTCTTCATCTGGGTTGCATTAAGTTGGCCTTCAGTATTGCAAAAAATAACAATTAATATTTTTTTTGTTTACCACAACAGGTCTTTAAACTCCCACATTTAACATATTTATAGGTTTTTCTCCCTTCAACTAACAACCCTCAACAAACAATGCTAAGATTGAAAGAACTCAGTTTACAGAAGATAAAAATATTAAGAAAATAAAAAATTATTTTCGTTAACGAGACTAAGACCAGACAAAATTTACGAGCCATTGATGAATGAACATTAAGAAATGTATTTTTTGTGGATCAGTGCTGCTATGATCCTTTTGGTATGTTTGATTCTGTATCCTCAACAGAGGAGTCTCCAGTTCACACTGAGTCGCTGTATAATTAAATTAAAATGAAAAGTAAATAGAATTTCATTTGAAAGACAATTTAAAGTACCTGAAATTAAAATAGAAAAAAGATAGGAAATCACATCAGCATAATGGTAATTGAGTAATTAATGAAAGTAAGTAATCAGAGGGAATAAAATAAATAATTCAAATGAAGAGATATGAATAAAAATAAATAAGGGAGGCAGATATTTTAGTTTTCAAGCTGCTCTCCTGAGGAAGATCAGACAATGACATCTTAAAGTAGTTTTAGGTGGTTCAACTGTATGCATGTAATCAGTTTATGTTTGAGGTTAGAGGTAGGGTATGTAGTTATCTCCCGTCATTCAGAGCCTTTTCTCTTTCAAAGAGCTTTTTTTAAATTAATCTTGTCTTTTGTCTTCAGGATTTTCTTTGTTATATATTTGCAGCAAAGTTAAAATCTTCTTGTATTGAAAGAAGATTTTTCATTTTTTAGATTTAATTATAATAAAAGAGTGAATCAAATGTTTTAATAAAACATCTTCTGAATTCAGTTTCAGCTATCTAAGTAAACTCTGGTAATTGTGCAGAAAATTACCATTTTTATTTATCATGTTATTTATAAAGCAGGAGTGTCGAGCTAATATTCATATCGACAGCTTTACCATCATCAGATCCTTAAACAGTCCAGTTGCAGCTGGAGAAGTGAAAATTTCGAGTTCAGCATTTCATTTACAAAGAGCAAACTACTCTGGTTTTAGAAATATACTCCTTTTTATTCTGTATTTCTGGTGACTTTGTACAATTTATAATAACATATGCCTAAATCCTTATCTTTTGGCTTCTGACATTTAGATAAATGGTAGTGATGGGCCAGAATCGGGCTGACAGGCTTTGGCGCATATTTTGAAAAATACCTCTGGAAATCCAACAAGATGCACTGCTTTAACTAACCTGCATTATCCTGTTACCCCACCCAACGACCTGCATTCTTTGCACGCCATCTGTATGATTTGCAAATGTTTTTTTTTTTGCCTTTCTGCCTTATTAAATAAATATTTTCGAGGAACTAAGTGTACCAAAGGTAAATAAGGAAGTACGCTACCCTCATTAACTGCTCAAACCAAAAAATTCTTTAGAGTCATCTTAAAACGAGTCTGAACAACAACAATAACATATTTCAGTTTTGTGTTCCCATTTCAGTTGTGCCACAACTTAAGCCTGCAAACCCTCCAGCCATTGCCTGCCAAGTAAGCAGATCAAGGATGTGATAGCTGTGATATACAGAGCTTAGTAACACCACAAAGTTTAATGCACTAAGACCTGCAGGTAAACCCATAACTACTACTAAACAGGTGGGAAATATTATTAGTTTCAGGTTTTCCTTTGAAAGGAGACTGGTATTTTTGAATCTAAACGTCAACTTTTTTTTCTTTTTTTTGGCCTAATTTGTATACTTGTCACCAACCAGTGGAAAGTGAATCATTTGCATTTCAGTAATCAAACCAGTCATATGTTGCTGACCAACGTTTTGCATGTTTCCTTTCCCATTTCAACAACCTGTTTTCAAACATTAATAACATGTCTCTGGAGATGGAAGGTTTCCTTGCCTTTACCAGACATTTTAATTCATGCCAGAGATTCAGTATGTTGGGTGTGTTCGATTTCAGAGGCTGCATCCTCCAAGGGCCCAGTCTACCTGGACTGGGTCCTTTGAGGTCCGTAAAACCTAAGAAGACTGGAAGAGTTTTGGGTATGGAGTCAAACGGGTCCAACTGTCTCTGGTTTTCATCATTCATATGCTCTGTCGCCTAGCAACCGTAACAGTTGACACACAAAGCAGGCAAAGAAGGGATACCTAACGTCTCACTACTGTTCTGGGTGCTAATTTAATTTCTCAGGAGCTTCAGGAACAGCACCGTTGTCGCGAATATCATATTATAGTCCACACACTGCAGAGAGGAATCTGCTTAAATGACAGCCAAACCCAATTGCACAGGGACAGATAAACCTTTAAATAAACCAAACATCACCCACCACATATCTTACTTAAAACAACATTTTTTATTAATTTCAGACAGCAATATTCACATACCTGTATTATAATAAACTGCACCTACAATATTAACCACTGTTTGGTGTAATTTCCCTTTTTCCTCTGAGCAGCCGGCTTGCTTGGGCTCACAATGAACCTTGGGATACCCGATCCTACATAGGATACAACGGACCTGTCCCTCAGAACGGGCAAAAAGAAGGCTGCATTTGTTGGCCGATTAACAAGGAGTTTTTCAATCCGAACAGGCCTCTGTGCCATACTTTGATATAATCGGCCGACTAATCTGGCCTGTAAGGGATGCAGCGGCAGGAATTCAAACTCAGCAACTGTCTTTCAATGCAAGCCGTTCTGGGGAGGTTATTCAGGATATAATATATATATCATCAACAGACACAATACATCCCAAATAATAATTAAAAAAAACAATTTACAGATTATAATACACTGATGTGTTTGTTGGTATCTGAAAACATCTGAAATTATTTAAATCTGCTTACACCTTCAATAAATATCCTAACATTCCTGTAAATCCTTAGGATTAGGTGTTGGTGACCTTAGCAGCTGAAAAAAATATCAAGACAGACTTTTCCTGAAGATGGAATTACAGAAATCTCTCTTAATCTCTCTTCCAATCAACAGAAGACCAATAAAAGGAAAACAAACTATTACAATTAGGTGTACCCATGAATAAACCAAACCAGGCTGTCCCACTTTCCCATTGAAAACTGTAATCTGTCTTTTTATATTGCCTATAAACTTTTTCTTGTTGAGTAAGCTTTTATCCCATATCAGTGCTGCATCGTGTCACTGTGGGTGATGTCACTCTGCAACCAGCTTCAGCAGCATCTTAAGAAGGTCGTTTCCCTTTGTTCTGGGTTGTGATTCACATATTCACAGTAAAGCATTTTAAGTTTTAACATATAACCTTTTAATTGGGGGCATCTGAAAATTAGATGAAGAATGACTCCGTTTTGTGAAGGTCCAAGGTTTATTTTTATTTTTTTTTTCGTGATATCTGGTAATTTCTTTCATTTGTTTTTCCTATAATATCAGTTCTACAACTTAGATAGAAAAACAATCACTCTAATAAAAACATGGTATTTCTGTCATGATTCATCCCTTTCATGACTTTTCTGCTGAAGTTTTTTATTTATTCATCGTTATGCCTTATTTTATATTATTCTGTGTTTGTCAACATTTATATCAATTTAAATTCTTAGTTTTACTCTCCCTTGTTAATTATTTCAGTTATCTCTTTTCAGCATTTTTTGTATTATTTATTTCTTGGTCTAGTTTTAGCTGGTATTAGTTTTTCCCCTTTAGCTTCAATTAAGTTCTTTCCTGGTTACAGTTAGATCCTGTTGTTTTCCTGGTTATTCTTTGTTTTTCCTAGTGTCCCTTACTTCTCCCTTAACTTGTTTCTAGTTGCTTCTGTCCCCACCTGCTCCCTATCAGCTGATTAGCCCATACTTTTTCCATCTCCCATATATACACCTCCTGTGTAATTCCTGTGTAATTCCCTTTATTCCTTCTGTTTGTTTCCCAGAGCGTCTCCTAGTTTTTTCTGGATTATAACTTCAGTATTATCTACCTCTTCATTATCTCTGAAAGAAATCCTCTCTGCCTCTTCGGCTCTGCATTAGGGTCCTCTACAAAACTCTACACACCCTCAACAATTTATTCATTTTACTTATAAAGCACAATTAAAAATAACAACAACAGATTCTTTATACCAAAGTGCTGTTCATTAATCAAGACCTGCTTTTCAAGTTCAGATTAAAAAACAGCATGCTTTAAGACCCCAGGTACCATACATGAATGAATACTAATGTTTGCAATAGGAAAAAAAAAATGGTTTCAATGGTATTAAAAGCATCTTAAAAAGCTGAAGGCGGAATAAGGATCCACCTGAAAACCAGAAGGTTTCGTATAATAAATTTCTGCTTAGGCTACCTGGTTTTAAATGGACCCACTGGGTTACATGATGCAGCACAGGCTGTCAGAAACTTTGATAACAAATCCTCCGTATCAGAACAAATAGAACAATTATTAATATTTTCTTAAAAAAACACAATAACCGAGCCGCAGTGAGAAATATTAGATAAAATTGGTATGTTATGAGAAGACAGGGCCTCTGCTATATGTTATTTATCTACAGCTGAGGCAAAGTAAAGAAGACTAGACTAGTGAGGGACCAGATACTGTACAGTTTCATTCATGATAGATGTATATTGAAGATATTTTATTTTTAAAATAAATTGGACAAATTGGTATAATCACATATTTTTGCTGCTCTTAAAAACACATACATATAAACACAAAACTATGTCTGTCACCATTCCAATTTAAAACTTCTTAACTTCAATTAAGACGAGGATCTAGTGTTGGCCTTTAACCTGGTGGAGCCTGAACATCCACAGTGATAAAAGTGTACATAATGTCCTTCAGAATCTCATTGACAGTATAATTTAGGGAATTCAGTCCATCAGTATCAATATTGTTTGCTGTTTGTTTAGCTTTGATAGCATTCTTTGGATTCACCTCATTGTGTACGTCCCTTTGATGTTTGATCATCTTGTATTTTGCAATGTTGGAGTTTGGCCGAGATATGGACATTCCTCGAAAGATGATTCTGTTGTAGAGATCATTATCCTCACCCCCCCAGCCCCAGAAAGTGTTTGAGAAGCCGTTGACCTTCAAGAACTGCTCCTCTGACAGTAAGGAGACCCCACCAAAGGCCGTTACTGAAGATAATACATAGTTAAATTTGTCTATAGCCACTGACAAATGTCTTGGATGTTCAGAACATCTGTAGAGGTTTCTATCATCTATGGGTACCAGGTCTACATCAGCAAAGACAAAACACTTATAATCGTATTCATGTAGTGCTTCAACAAATCCTATATTCATCAGTTTAGCCCGGTTAAACACTCCATCTCCTTCCTGGTGTAAAGGAAGAAAATATTCTAATCATAGTTAACTTTGGAAAAAGATTGGCTTCTGATTCTTCCCTTCCCCAGGTCCACTCGGCGAGCTGCGTTTGGTAATAAAACCAACATTGCGTGTTGACGTCACAGAATTACAGAGTTTAATCCAATATAAGACAATGCATAAACTTAGAAATAAGACAATGCACAAACCTACACCAGAAACTGCAGAACAACAGAGACATACATTCCATTACCTGACATAGGAGGAAAGAAAGCAAAGACGTACAAGACATCTTTGGAGAGTTTGCAAGAGCAAAATCTGATCTTTTTCTTCTATTTAGAAGGCTTTATCCTCTTGTATCTAATCCATTCAAAAAGGGGCTGGCCCTCGGTCCTCCAATCAAACGCCATCTCTGACACTGCTAGGGCTTCCCCTTATTTACTGCAAACATCTGGGGTCATTTGCTTCTTTGTTTTAACAAGAAAAGGCGGAAAGCTTGTCCTGGCATCTAGCATTCCTAAAGTCATAAAACACAAGATAAGCTCTCACAGACAGCTTGTGGAATGCGGGGGTCTCACCATCCCTGGTTGTTTATTCTGAAAGACTTTTGACCTTCTGTAAACCAAGCAGAAATCTCTCCTGCAGGCTTAACTGTTATTCACCCCCCAGGAGATACTCATTCTATGGGCTGGTGGTCTAAATACTTATCCATTAGTAGTTTTAAATCATTAACACAGCCTTGTTCAAAATTAAGAAATATGTTCAAGTGAGAGTGTTTACACATGCCATAAGATTAACTGTATTAAAGTCTAAAAAATAATCATTTTTCTTTAACAGTCCCCGTTTTGAGGTCTGAGACATACAGACCTCACAAATAAAATGATTAAGCCTTCTAATAGAGGAACCAAAAAACTATTTAGTATACTAAAAAACTAAAACATTAGCCCAATTTTTATAACAGTCCCCTTTTTAAACAGCACCTCCTAGGTCCACTGCCAGGTCATGTGTCTAAAGCTAAACTCCATAATCTAAACTTATCAAATGTATCTTGCGCTGTCCAACAATTTAATACTCACCTGATGAACCACAAAATTTTAACCAGTAAAAACTAAACTAAAAAATACATTTCACTTATCAAACATGAAAAATCATAAAACTCAGTTATGTCAATAGAAGAAAACACACAATAGAAATATTAGCCCAAGTATAAAATTAGAAAACCAAAGCAAGATATCTCGAAATTACCAAAAAATGCTCAGCAGACTCAAAAGACAATACTGGCCACAAAAATTACAATTTGTCAATACAAAACAATAACAACATAAAAAATACATCATAAACACATAAAAATTACAAAAGACCTTTTTTTCTTTTTTTTTCACAATTCAACAATAAGAAGTTAGAGTTCGTCTCTATGCTCCTTCGATAGTCTTTCAAAAATGAATATGAATTCTTCGTCAGGAAACGATCCAAAAATACGCGCAAAAAGAAACGAATGTTCTTGAAGAGTTCGCAAAAACGAAAACAAGCAATAAAAAGAAGATAAGTTAATGATGATCTTGTAGCTGGATCCTTCACGTGTTCCTCCTCGGTTGTAAACCTCAGGTTTTCACCTGAGTGTCCGTTGCTCACTGAAAATTGGAGTATTATGCCAATTTAACAGTGAGTTTAAGGAGAGGGTGCAATCTCCTTTTCTCAATGGAAGGACACCGGAACAGGATTATTGTGCCTGTCTGGGCCTTTTAAGCCTTGTAATTCAGGAAAATGAAGTGGTTTTGGCAGACTTCTGCCCGGAAATGCAGATCCTCCTCCGCGCTGTGATGGCCCTCAGACACTCCTCGACCGCAGGTTGAGACTGTAGATTCTCCTGTATGCCCTGCAGCGTGCGTTGTGGCTCCTCAGCTGACTCCAATGGAACCACGTGTCTCCTTCTCTCTTGTAGACGGACAGCATGAGATGTACTCTCCACGACTCGGTATGGTCTGGCGAAGCGAGGTTCAGACCACTTTCTTTTGATGACCATCAGGCGCACCCAGTCGATTCCCCGAACTGATCCCGAGCCTGGACGTTCCTGTGACGTCTGGTATTTTGTAAATTCTGCTGCCAGGACCTGTAACTCATTGAAGAAATCTTTATGAGATAAATGTGCAAGCTTACCTTTCCATCCTGGAATGCGGGTAGCAGGTCCTGGAAACATCCGTCCTGTCTGGAGCTCATATGGAGAGAACCCTGTTGATTGGTTAATGATTGATCCTACACTTTATGACAGCTTCACTGTCTTCCTTTTGTATTATAAATCTGCTACTTTGGAGCTGTATTTTAACCATCCTTTGACCCTCTTTTTATATAGGGCCTACATGAGAAATGAAAGTTTCCTATCATGTTAAACCCAAAACTTAACTGTATTTTAGAAGCAGTTCCATAACTGTTAATTTGTAAATCTCCAATTTAGACCAATTTAATTTCAATCATCATATTTTCTATTTTTTAAAACCTTAAAGAATGATCAGCCTGCTTTACATGAGTCACTAAATATCAAAAATGACCTACTTTATTCCAATCATATTTTAAATCCCAAAAATTTCAACCATTTTTACCTTTGATCCATTTATTCATTTAAAACCTATTTATAAAATATTTAATTGAATAATGTATTACCCTTTTTATATTGTTTATCAATTATCAATGCCTTTTCAGTTTTGGAGAGAGATTCAATACAGCTAAATTTATTAAATGATGTAAATCTTTAGTTTAGACCTTCCTGGATGTCTTAGTTAAACAACTTATTTTAAAACATATGAATAGAGATACAACAATCCAATGATCACCTTCCTTAGTTTAAGAACACTATTATGTAAATTATTTGATAGTCAATATTTTGTTTAGTATATTCAATTTATACATTTTACTTATTTCATATCCAAATAGTTAGCTCTTCTTTAATGCTGGTAATACACCGTAAAACATTTAATGTATTTTGATTTAACTTCAATAACCTCTTTTTCCGAAAAGTAAATGCAGAGATCCAAACTAAAAATTTGCCTATCAGATCAATTCCATTCATGTCCCCCTGTTTCTATAACAGAACAAATGTTCTGTCATAGAATACAATAAAAATCCTATACAACTCATTGAGATGAAATCCGCTATCACCACTAACTTTAGCCTCATGTAACACAGTTGGATGCAATTCAAACATGGTGTCCCAGTTACTGTTACAATCTGCACACCTCAATCAAAGAATTTAATGTTTGATTAAATTTATGAAATCAACACAGAACTTGGTGTCATTTGCTCAGTAAGTCAGTCTATAGACACCCAATCCACTTTAACACCTTAATTTCAAATTCCATTTAAATTTAAATTTAGTTTTACTGAATGGTAGCCACTGTACTATGTAAATAAAAATTTAGATCATCTTCCCTAGTAGATGAAGCGTAACACACAATGCAATTCAGCTATAGTTAAAAAAATGTAATTGCAATCATTAGTCCCTGCCCATTCTTTTCAGGCAGGAAGGGAAAAAAAACACATTAGCATTTTGTGAGACAAACAGAGTGAATCATGGAGGAGGAATGCAGTGTCGTAACAGTTGGTGCACACCAACCCCTAACTGCATCGTAAAACCTCTGACCCCAGGAGATGGGGTTGTCCTCAACACCTAGAATTACACTGCAGGGCTGCAGGACGTGAAGAAAACAGGGCGCCTCAGTGCTATATCTAAAATAAGAAGAGAACAATGGCATCACACACTACAAAAATTTAAAGAAAAGAACTTATTCACCACTACCAAGTTGTGTTGGCACCCATTTCGTCTCCAACCTGCAGACTGAAGGGAACCCCAGGAGTGGGCTCTGGCGCCCAGGTCACATGATCAGAGGTGAGAATCCAGGATCAAACATGAGAACACACAACAGGACCACCGCTGAGCGACTTGCCATGCCCCAATTCTGTATCTGCTGAATCAGAACGTGTCTAGAGAAGCAGTCATTCCAGCAGTGCAGAAACATCTGGATACAGTCCCGCTTTGATGAACTTTGGTCAGCCTTTCGTGGTCGACAGAGCAGGACATAGAAACCAGCAGACCAGTCATCTACTGAAGCCCCCGTCCGGGTTTGTCTATGATCTTTGTGGTCCCGACTCACTGCTGATTTCCAGCCATAGAAGACTCCCACAGATAACGCCTGAGTCCCTTTTGTTTTCAGCCAGGCATGAAAAGCAACAGTCAAAGGAGACATCTGTTGCCAGGTACAGCAGGAGAACAGTTCGCTTTCACTGACCTTCGTAATCGCTCAACAGCGTTCGGCTTTCATACAACAGTCCAGCAGAAGATGGGCCTAGTTCAGCATCATCATGTCTTTGTTCAGCGGCCAACAGCGGCCTGATGCGGTAATCAAGAAGATCCCTTCAAATACATCTTCCCATGATCTCTGAGCTTAAAAGACCCTTCCCCCAAGATCGCCATCAAGTCAGAAGGAAGGAGAACTGCCAGAGAAAAAATAATACAAAGTAATTAAAAAGCAAAACTTATATTTGCCACATTTTGTTACTTTCACTATCATAAATAAAATTTATCTTGTGATGCCTCCTCCCGTGTGGCGCTAGATTTGTTGTTGTTATAGCACAAACGGCCAACTGCCCCAAATCCTGAACTGCAAAAAGAATAAACAGAAATTTGTTAAAATAGTCCACGATCGGATGTGCCAGAATTAAGAAAATAATGACACTTACTGTTCAAAATCAATAAACGTCAATACCTCGATGACATTCACTCTGCTTGTGCCAAATATCAACTACAAATTCTAAAATCACAACCTCACAAACTCATTAAAGAATTAGAACAAACTCTAGAATGTCCAAGTACTGATACTTATAAAAGTTGTGATGGAATTGCCCTTGGTCAAATAATTATGAATTGCATATTGTTCTACTAAATACCAAACATCCTTATCATTGTCCCACGCTTCAAGACAAAGTCCTATTTCAAAATTTCAGAAATCCTTTACATTTTATCTGAATTTCATAGCAGTTTTAACCAAAATTTTCCTCAAAATTAACAATTTACACCCAACTGTATATAATCAAAGTCAGCAGTGATGCAGAAATCTATCAACAATTTAAATGTAAATAGACATGGCATAGATGTTATTTGAAACCGTTTGTAATGGAACTTGTTTAACTTAATGTTATTCAATGTTTAGTTCATTTACTGAGGCCACCTAGTGGCAAATGTTATAATTGTGTGTATTGCTAGTTCACAAACGCCATCTTGTGGTCACTTTTATTACTACAACTTGTTTACCAGAAAGGAAGAAAGCCTGTTCATCCATTTGCTCTGAAAGAAGCAGTTTTTGTTGTGTTTTCTTTAATCTAAGTGCAAAACGGCATCGTCTGTAAGTACTGTTCTAATTTGCCTGTCATATTAATCATAATTCATAACCTGTTGACATGTTTTATGTGAAGATAGACATTTTTACTTGTATTAGCCCAATGTTAGCTTAGCTGGCATTCATTTTCTGTATCTTTGTGTGTTACAGTTTTACACGATTCTCATTAAACCCTGCTAAAGAACCTAATGCAGTGCTTCTTGGTGGACGAATGGGAAAGTGTTTAGCTACCTGTATAGCTGAGTTACTGCTGAAGGCCACAGTGCTTAGCGAGGCCAGGACAGTAAAAAGACGTCCCATGCAGAAGAGACAAAGAAAAAGACAACGTCTGAGCCATGGACAACAAAGGTAATGAACAGAAGGCAAGTGATGTGCTATCAAATAAGGACATGGATATAGATACAGTGTACCACGTCCGTTCTGTAGCCTCACGGTCATCTACATGCTCCTCTGTCAGTTTGGCTGCAGCTAAAGCAAGAGCTAAGGCTGAAGCAGCTAAAGCTAAACTGGAGTTTCATGAAAAAGAGACACATATTCAGATTGAGAAGGCAAAACTTGAAGCATCACTGCGTGCACTCACTCTCCAAAGGGAACTTACAGCTGCTAATGCTGAAGCAAAAGTATTTGAGGCAGTAGCAGCAGACATAGAGGAAGGAAAATACAGCGAGACATCTGAGCGCAGTCCTGTAGCCAAACAAACACTGAAAAGGACAGAAGACTATGTAAAAGAGCAGTCATCTTACTTCAGTCAGTACAACTACAAGGATCAGGGGGCTCACTCACACCCACCTAACACTATACCCAATGCTGTTAACATGCAACAATATACAGTACCTGTGCCTGCTGCTGTAACCACGCAACAATATGCAGCCTCAGATGAATTTAAGTCTCTTCCCATTCATCAGCCAGACATGACAGGAGGACACATTAAACAATCCCCCAACTTCAACTCTTACCACAGAGGTGACTCAATGCACAATGTTAATGTGAAAACTGATGTTCCTACCTTTAACGTAAATTCAGGAAATCCCACATTTGATCTGGCAAGGTTTTTAGCACGCAGCCAAGTCATAACATCTGGTCTGGTCAAATTTGATGATACTGCAGAACATTATCAAGCATGGCGAGCTTCATTCATCAGTGCTATAGAACCACTAGGGCTGACACCTAGTGAAGAAGTTGATCTGATGGTGAAGTGGCTTGGCAAGGAGTCAAGTGAGCATGCGGCCAGAATAAGAGCAGTTAATATTAACCAGCCTATGGATGGACTAAAATCAATATGGGCAAGACTGGACAAAATACACTATATTGCCAAAAGTATTTGCTCACCCATCCAAATTATTGGAATCAGGTGTTCCAATCACTTCCATGGCCACAGGTGTATAAATTCAAGCACCTAGGCATGCAGACTGTTTTTACAAACATTTGTGAAAGAATGGGTCGCTCTCAGGAGCTCAGTGAATTCCAGCGTGGAACTGTGATAGGATGCCACCTGTGCAACAAATCCAGTCGTGAAATTTCCTCGCTCCTAAATATTCCACAGTCAACTGTCAGCTGTATTATAAGAAAATGGAAGTGTTTGGGAACGACAGCAACTCAGCCACGAAGTGGTAGGCCACGTAAACTGACGGAGCGGGGTCAGCGGATGCTGACGCGCATAGTGCGAAGAGGTCGCCAACTTTCTGCAGAGTCAATCACTACAGACCTCCAAACTTCATGTGGCCTTCAGATTAGCTCAAGAACAGTGCGCAGAGAGCTTCATGGAATGGGTTTCCATGGTCGAGCAGCTGCATCCAAGCCATACATCACCAAGTGCAATGCAAAGCGTCGGATGCGGTGGTGTAAAGCACGCCGCCACTGGACTCTAGAGCAGTGGAGACGCGTTCTCTGGAGTGACGAATCGCGCTTCTCCATCTGGCAATCTGATGGACGGGTCTGGGTTTGGCGGTTGCCAGGAGAACGGTACTTGTCTGACTGCATTGTGCCAAGTGTAAAGTTTGGTGGAGGGGGGATTATGGTGTGGGGTTGTTTTTCAGGAGCTGGGCTTGGCCCCTTAGTTCCAGTGAAAGGAACTCTGAATGCTTCAGCATACCAAGACATTTTGGACAATTCCATGCTCCCAACTTTGTGGGAACAGTTTGGAGCTGGCCCCTTCCTCTTCCAACATGACTGTGCACCAGTGCACAAAGCAAGGTCCATAAAGACATGGATGACAGAGTCTGGTGTGGATGAACTTGACTGGCCTGCACAGAGTCCTGACCTCAACCCGATAGAACACCTTTGGGATGAATTAGAGCGGAGACTGAGAGCCAGGCCTTCTCGTCCAACATCAGTGTGCGACCTCACAAATGCGCTTCTGGAAGAATGGTCAAAAATTCCCATAAACACACTCCTAAACCTTGTGGACAGCCTTCCCAGAAGAGTTGAAGCTGTTCTAGCTGCAAAGGGTGGACCGACGTCATATTGAACCCTATGGATTAGGAACGGGATGTCACTTAAGCTCATATGTGAGTCAAGGCAGGTGAGCAAATACTTTTGGCAATATAGTGTATATATAGATATATCTATATAAATAGATATAGATACCTATATATATATACATATATAAATATATATATATATATATATATATATATATATATATATATATATATATATATATATATATATATATAAATATAAATAAACACCTTTATTTGGGTGTGATTAATTATTTCACAGTCCTAATTTATTTATATTTACATACATACTTTTATAATATGAATATTATTGTTATTGTAAAAGCATAATCCAGGTTTCAAATTAAAGGTAACACTTTGAAGTTTCATGTTGACTATTCGGATTATATATCAGGGGTAATTACACAAAAGTTCCTATTTTTAAACCATTATAAAAGTGACATTTATTTGCTATTAAAATTGGTACAATAGTCCCCTTCACAAGTATATATAGATGTAGCATGTTGAAATCCCCACCTACACTACTGTGATGGTATACACATGGAAGACAGATTTAAAAAATGACCAAAAAAACATAGCTTGGCTAATTCCCTTTGAAAAGGAAGGTTTTATTGAGCTTCTGTGTAATGTACAAGAGAGCGTTGTCCACAAGGCCATCAAAGCGGACAGGAAGGTAGCTGTGGTCATGTACTAGCGCAGGAATGTCAGCAAACGGGGATGGAAGATCTTCTCCTCCTGCTTACCCATTATATAACCTGCAGAAACAAAAACAAAAGTGACCAACAACAATTCACAGTGTATAAGATTGGTATATCAATATGTGATTAAATTTCAATGATACACATGCCCTTTGAAGATGAGCTGGAAAGTTGAAAATGTTTGGCACAACACCATCTTTAAGTTGTCCAAATGAAACTAATACAAACTTATAAAAGCTTTGAGTCAACAACAATCTTGTAATACTATTATGTCAGAAAAATTCTGGCATCTTCCTTTTAATAAACCCAGCAAATTCCTGTTACATAATGTAAGATGTGTTGACAGACCAAATCGATTGGAAATCATGTTAAAATCTGCCTCTTCCACTGATGTAAAGTTGCTGGTTAACGTTAGCAGCTAGCTAAACTGTAACGTTAGCTGCTAACTTACTAACGTTAGGTCTCACTTCGCAGCTTCTTGTTATTAGCCAGCTAACGTTAGGCTAATAAGGAAAATACAACAACACTCAGATTATTGTTATTAGCCAACTAATAACTACAACCACATCCACAAAGACTGTAATTTACACCAAAGATTAATTGTCATACAATCGTTATTGGTGTCAGTAAAACCTATATAATTGACTAATAATCTCAGCCTTGATAACTTGCGCAAGTAGCCGTGATGCACAACTATGCTGCGCGATTAAGTCATTTTTCGACAAGAAAATCTGCAATTTCGACATGTTCAAGCATCAAGAATGATAGCCACGTTCATAATGTTTGTAAGAAACCAAACTGTTTGTAAATTCGTCAAGAATTCATTGAGGTAAGAGTATTTGTGTTCGTGCTGATTACTCACCTTACATTAGGTTCCACAGAGCAAACCAGAAAGCCTGCCTGAGGCAAGATGGCCGCCGGTGATGACGTTTGAGACTCCGCCGTAAGACATCTAGCCTTTATTATGGATATCTATGGGATGAAGTGTCGACTGCTGGGCCGCTGACTGGACTGGACCTCAGTAGAGAGCCATGAGCCGCCCGTCCTCAGCTGGAGGAGGGGGGCTGGTAAGGCAGGCGGGGGGGAGCACGGGCTGTCGGTGTCCAGGCTACCCTCACCAGGTCGGGTTAGGTCGCTCCGTCCCCCGCTGACTCCCTGCCCCAATCCAACGTGATTCCCAGACCAGCCCCTGAGCTGACGGCTCGGTTCGAATACCTTGTGTGTTTCGACTCCGTGCTGAAATGTAGTCGACCAAAATCCCGGACGATTTTGAAATTCCCCCCTGGATATTTTTTTAGGTATGAAAAGTAGGACATTGTAAACCAACCAATCAGAGCACAGCTCATCTAAATATTCATGATCATACCATAAAAGGAAGAAAACCTGTCGTTTCATTCTAGGGCTTTTAACCAGGCTTGCATTAGAGCTCTTGGACAGCAAATATACCATTTTCAGCCCAACCCATGTTACACACCCTATTCAGAGACCTTAAGGACCAGCACCAAATACCCTATAGCAGGGGTGCCCAACTACAGAAAAGAGCAGTCAAGATCTCCAGACAAAGGCTGTGCAGTCAAAAAAGACTCAGAGGGGAGCAGACGAAGCCACAGTGGAGGCTGTAGGCTTTGCTTTGAGCAGCCGGTCTGGAGCGCAGCGGGGCGGAGCGGGGGTTGCTGACGGAGTATGAGGGATTTTGGGGTTAGCATGACATGTTGCTGTTAGCGTATACAAAACGTGTTGCACAATGCTTGCACACTGATGCACTTTTATCCACAACTTTCTTTCCGCCGTCATCGTAGGTCACTCTAAATGCAAAGCGCTCCCATACAGCAGACCTATAACGTGCTGCTGGCGCGTCTTCCAACTCCTGTTCTTTCCCACTCGCCAGTCCGACACAATTCTCCACAACAACTGATTTTTTTCTGCTACACCCGGCTAAGCTGCTTCGCTTCTTCTTCTTCTTGTTTACTACTGGCGGTTGGCTTTGGTCGCAGCACTGCCACCTTTTGCTCTGGAGTGTAATCGCTTCCTCTATGAGAAAAAGGAGCAGCGCATGAACCGAACGAAACACATGCGAACCGAACCGAGACAGTCGAACCGAACGATTCTGACGGTTTTCATAAATCGTCCCATCCCTAATAAATATATATATATATATATATATATATATATATATATATATATATATATATATATATATATATATATTTATATATAAATATATATATATATATATATATATATATATATATATATATATATATATATATATATATATATATATTACTACTTTTCATGGCTCCACTGTGAAATTGAAACTTCTAAATTCAGTGTAAAAAGCGAAGGGTTACTTCAGGTCACAGACGTTAGCAATGGATTGTGGCGTCCAACACCCAACCAATCCCGTTACGTTTTCTTTGTCACGTGACATGGCGCTTGTGGAAAACCAGCATGATGGAGCCGGTCCTGCAAGCTAACGCTAACTCTACTACAGAAAAATGAAAGTAATAAACTCACAGTTGAGTTAGCGTTAGCTTCCATGACCAGCTCTGTGATGCTGGTTTTCCTTCAGTATGAGCGCCACAAGTGTCACGTCACGTGACTAAGAAAACGTAACGGGATTGGCTGGGTTTTTGGACACCACAATCCATTGCTAACGTCTGTGACCTGAAGTAACCCTTCGCTTTTTACACTGAATTTAGACGCCGAACTTAAGACAGTGAAATGGAGCCAGTTGAATCTCAGGAGGCTGAAAATATTGAGTTTGAATTTTGAAAGGTTGAATTTTTTTTATATGCAGATTTTTTTTAACACTGAAAAATTTAACTGAAAAATAAGTATTGAAAATGTAATCACTTTGAAATAGTAATGTCAATGTTATCTTAAAGAAAAAATAACAAATGAAATTTCAACTGTGTAGAAATAATGACAATAAATTTTTTTTAGGTCAAAAATATGTTCTGAATATATTTTAACACTGAAACAGTAAGTACAAACATACAACATTTAAATTTCAGTGGCATTTTTAATTCAAATCCCAGCGACACAGATTTACTTCCATACTTCTGTACCCCTCTCCTGTTTGAACTGGAATGAGAGAACCCAGCTGCTGTCATATGCAAAGGTGCTAATAAATGAACAGCTAACTGGATATCCATTAACATTATAAGTCCTGTTGGGTGTGAGTCTTAGTACAGACAGCCCCATCAAGGAAATTAGATTTTTTTTTGTTGCAAAAAAGAAAATGTAAAGAGCCAAATTGAGGTAAAAGTAGCCCAAATCAAAGTTTATCTCTTAATAAATCAGAAACGTATTGTTTTCGAGGATCACCCTATATTTTTACGGTTTCCAGAAGCACCCATACCTTTAATATATCAGTCGACTTCTGTCTAAGCAACATCTTTATTACATTTTCCTAATCATCTATATGGTTTACTACTTGCTTCATTTCACTTTATGAAGAAAAGAACAGAGCAGGCAAAGAGAAGAAAATGAGACACAAAAAAAGCAGCATGGCAGCCACCAAGCCAAAGGATCTCAAATTGTGCCTTTTTTAGTGTATGAGATAAGACTACTGGTCCTGAAATTCGTAGGGAAGTCATATTTAAATGTCAAATCATTCTGGCTCAAACGGGTATATAAATGTAGTCTTTACCAGACCATATAAAAAAAAAAAAAACCCCGTCTTAAAATCTGTGGGTTTTTTTGTTATCTTCTGCAGGCCAGTTAGTTATACGTCAGCTTGAACACCTAAATTCGGCCAATCATATATCAGCGGTCATCTGTCAATCACATTTTTTCAGTCATAGCATCTTGATTCATATTTCGCAGCTAATATACGCAACAGTTGAAATAAGAAATAAGAATCATTTCCTTTCCCATTGATTTCCATCTAAGTGTTCACGGGGATGGACGTCTGTGTCTTCGGCAGGCGTAGAGCTAACAGAACTGGCAGCGTTGCAAGGCAAGGGCTCAAACATGTACGGCTGGAAGCCTTCTACACCAAACCAAGCTTCTGACGCCCTGGCATCCTCTTACAGAACATCTTTGTCCCCACTTTCTTCCGAGACTCCGGCCACAATCAACCTTGCTTGCAAACCTTCCACCACAACAATCCCGCCCATTGATTTATGACCAATCACATTCACTTTATTCACTCGTGTCGCGCCACTCAGGAGAATTCAGAAATGCAATGGTTAGAACAGCCGCTTCCCTACGACTTGAAGCTGCTAGAACTGTTTTAGTTCCCACTTACTCAGTTTGGCACACAAAAAGGAAAACTGGTTCAGATGGTTGGAATATTCTTCCATAACAAATACTGCTTTGTGCTTTGCTTGTTGGGTATTTGGCAAAAGTCACATTTAGGATGCGTTAGTGAATAATGTAGTGAGTAAGTGGTAAAATGCACTGAGCAAGTTTCAAAAATGTATAAAATGTTTATGTAGAAAACAGTGAATTGAATCATGGCTGTCCTCTCTGGCTGCTCAGCATCCCTAAACCTCTGATCCTACAATCGACCCTGTTACAAAGATTCAGACATTTGTTCAGATTGTTGAGTTCAGTTCAGTTCATTGCATAGCAGCTCAGAGAAAGCCATTTTGGACAAAGACTATTTAATAAGATGTACCCAGAAAGGCCGGTATTTCATCTGAACTACAGAAAAATAACATATGTGTGAGCGAAGCGTAAGGACCTAATGTTGCATCTGAAATATTTTCCAGCAATAGAAAGGAATATTTTCAGGGTTTTTATTTTTTTGATGTTTTACCATTTCTTTTCTTTCTTCACAGATGGTCTTTTGAAGTCCGTTTTCTTTTCCTATAATTACTATTAAACTCCACTGCAAAGTTGAGACAACCCAGTGTGCTAGATCTGGTTAGAAATACTTTTTTTGTGTTTTTACATTTTTTTTAGATGTAAAAACAGTATATATTTTTTTCTCATCATCAATTCTTTATTTTCCAGGCAAATCTAATAAAGAAGAGAGGAAAACAAATCACCAGATTCTTTAGAGGAATTACTAAACACCACATAAGATGAAACGTAGATTTAAAAGTTCTCCACCCAGAGCTTCACCAGACTCAACAAAGAAAGATGAAGACATCTCTACAGAAAAAGACAAACTAGTTCTGAGCATTCCAATAAAAAAGTCAAAACTAGAACTTCCGGTGATTGAGGAAGGTCAACCGAGCAGCAGTGGATGCTCAACAGTGGGCCAAAAGGAAAGTGATGTGGAAGAAAGAAGAGAAACCAATAAAGAGGCAAGACAGTCTGATAAGACCTATGACACTCCGCTTGAACACCTATCTTCCACGACGGGGTAATTTCCCTCACACCCAATGCCAAGTATAAATTTGCTTTTTAGCTATGACACTCTAATTTGACCGCAGTTTGCCAGCTGTAGCTCATCTGTTGAAATGGAAGGAGATACTGATGAGCCTGTAGTAAGCAGAAAGAGCAGCATCTGCCAATCTCTAAGCTCTGAGGGAAGTAAACCAGACGTTGAACTACTACTCGAGGTTGAGGAGCCAGCGCCTCTTACTCTAAGCCCTCTAGGTTTAGGATACACTCCAAACCTGTCCTTATTGTCACCTTCATCCCATCCCTCAGTTTGCTCTCCTTTGCCCATCAGCAGCTTCCCCCGATCTCCAAGTTTACCCAACATGAAGCTCCAAAGCAGCTTTAAGGAGTTTACTCCAGATTTCAGTGATGATGAAGGAGATGGAATCTACTGGTTCCGGTGCTCCAGTCCAGGCCTGTACCAGTGCAGAGTGAGCGGCCTGGTGTTTGACATGAAGGGAGAAGGAGATGTGTCCTACAGGATTGTTCCTTGGGACAGAAGGTTACTGAGCCGACATGGCAAGAAGCCTGCAGGACCTCTGTTTGACATCAGCTGTCAGCAGCAGTCTGTGGCTCAGCTTCATCTCCCTCACTGTGAGATCCGCTCCACAGGCAGATGTCACTTCCTGTCAGTCGCTCACATGCATGATGAAGGAATCGAGTTTATCAGACCTGAGGGAATCACAGAAACTCACCTCATCATCAGCATCACAGGGTTTTCTCCTTTTGGCAACGTCAAAGATGAAGATTCTCCTCCGGACCCGATCCGAGCCTTGGTTCTGCTGTTCTACAAGCCTCCAGTTGAACCCAGTGTCACATCTTTCCTCAGTGTCTTGCTTCTTCCAAAGAATATTGTGATTCTGGATGTGAAGCGGACCAGGAAGAAATTGTTTGGATTAGAGACATTCCTCGACGTACCTCCACACTGTAAACTGAGGCCAAATCAGCTTTACACTCTGTCCACCGATCCTGGAGAAGACTCGGTTCTGGTTCAGCCCACAGAGGCTGAGTTTGATGCAGAATCCTACGACTACCTAACATTAATCAGGGTGACTTTAAAAAGCATCATTGGAGATATTGAGCTGAGTTTGAAAGAGAAGAGTGACTCCAGTTCTGTCTGGGAGGGACATGTTTGCCTTTTACCTCAGAGATTAAAAACAGGTCTGACTTCTGATGAGCAGCTGAAGGAAACTCGGACCAAAATCATTGATAAAATATCAGAACCTGTTCTGCATAGTTTGCTGGACAGACTTTTGGATCAAAAGGTCCTCACTGACTCAGAGAGTGATTTCATTAGAAAGGAGGGGACCAAAAGTGAAAAAGCTCGAGTTTTAGTCGACACAGTGAAGAATAAAGGTGACCAAGCAAGTTCAGAGATGATCCGCTTTCTCTGTGAGCTCGACCCGTACTTCTGTAGAAATGTGGGTCTCGTCTGTGAGAAACCAGAACCAGAGCAGTAAGCAGGACACTCACTGGTTCTATTCTAAATCACCGAAGGAAAGAAAGACATCTCTTTAATTACACCTCTGGTTCTTGGAGGCAGGAGAATCCTGTGTGTAAATGAACAGAACACTTTTAACAAAGAGTTTATTGTCATTGTGAAATCATATTGTTGGCATTATCTGCTGGGCTTACATGTGTTAAAAACAGCTGTGCTTTATTAGCTTATAATCTTTACTAATTTACAGGTTCTAGAGTTAATTCATTTTTTATTGTTTTGCTTTTACTTAGATCATATTCTTCTGTGTAAATAGAAAGATCTACAGTAGTGGCCATTCACATTGCTCCCACTTTCCTTGATGGGCCCTTAGCTGATCCCCTTAGATTCATTTTTAAAACATCAATCTTTCTGCTAAAATATTCTTTCTGTCTTGATTTGTGGAGATTAAGATCTAAAGAGAAGCATCATCTCCTGGTCAGACCCTGTAAATCAGTGAAAGGGTGGAGTCAGAGTAAAAAGGTATACCAGAGGGGGGGGTCACTCCAGTGGCTGGAGGTTGGAGGGGATTCTGCTGGGAGTTGCAGGGAAGTGGGCTGCCATTCGGCTGGTGTTTGACTGGAAAGGACCATTTTGAATGACTGCTACTGTATTCAACCATAATGAACCTTTCCATTTTATGCACTTGGAAAAGGCAACATGTGCAGATTTGCTTTGTTTAGACACTTCTGTTCTCTTACTGACGTCATGTTTTCAATCAGTCTGCAGAAACGGCTCCCAGTCAACTATAACATCAGGAAAGTACCCTGCTTGTTTCAAAACTTCAAATGTCAGAGGAATCCAATGATTATGTAACTAAAATAAATGTGAAAAAATATACACATGTATTTAATATTTTTTATTTTATATTATTTGGGCAAAAGGAAAACATATATATGTTTAACAATGATCAAATCCAGTGTTAATATGGATTCTGATGATTTTCTATTTTCCCTGCTCTATATAATTAACACATGGCAACCAGTTCTAGCCTAGACTTTATATAGGCCCAGCCATTTAAAATAGGAAAAGAGGAAATAGATATTAAAATCCTTGCATTAAAAAAGTGATTCTGCTTCTAGAAAATACATTTCTGTGGCTGCACTCTGGAAATCCTAATATAACCATTTATTAATTTAAAAAAGGGACTAATTTTATTTGCTTATACATGTTTTTTTTGTTTTTTTTTTACCAATTGTTTTTGCTTTCACATCTGAGTTTAAACACAAATGTTAGAATAAAACATATTTTTCACTGAACGTTTTTGAGGATTATTTGTATCCTAGCTGAATAACAGCTTCATAATGTATGGTTTGTTTTCATTAATGGGCCTTTGTTTAACAATATTCTTGCTTCGCTTTTTATATGGTTTCAAATGCCATTATTAAATAACACTTTGAGCACAAGTCAAAGCCAAATTCACCAAAAGAAGTTTAACTTTATCCTTAAACTTCCTCAGTAGAAGGTTGCTGAATATCCAGGAGGTTATATGGTTTAGCACGTCTCTTTCTGTTATGTTTTTAGATCTGAATGCATATTTCACCAAATTTGATTGAAACCAAAACATTCTCCTTATGTCTAATGGCTCTGTAGATATAAACTATGTTTGAACGCAGAAGCCTTTTATTTAAAGCTTTCCTACTTAAATATCAACAGGTTTTTGAACGTATTGACATTAAAATATAAAAACATGTTTAGTTTCAGTCTAATGGGCAGTTTGATTAATTCAAAAATAACAGGTCCGTTAAGTTTTTTCCAATGATGCAGATTGAAATAGATTTCTTCTGTTGTATTCAGATTAGATTTTTCAAAAATGTTTATATATATTTTATTTCATATCATCTGAACTATCCTAAGCTTGTTTCTTTTGCATAGCCAGCAGGGGGAGCCACTTCCTTGTCTCCTGTTTTTGAGCTGATTTTCAGCTAAAGAAGGTTTGGGCTCATACTGTTCAGCTTATGAGCAGGATCAGAAAATGAAGTCCTGAAGAAGCAGAAGAAATCCAAGAAACACCTGAGAGTCCTACAATCTTTCAGTCTGTCAGCTGTGTGAGAGGCTATGGAAGCCCGTTTCCTTTACTCGCATGACAAATCAGACAAAAAACAATCTAATATCATAGTTTGAACTTTGCTATTTCTTAATAATGAGATACTATCTCTATAACATGAGATAGGTAAGCCCTGAGTTATGTTTTTTCATGAGAGTAGCAGAAAGTGGCTTCATTACTAGTTGAAGCAATTATGAAAATCAAGTCAAACATTTTAAGAGCAATGTTTATTGTATACTGTAGAAAACAAAGTTCTCCTTCGAGGTTTAAAACAGAGAGACAAACATTATAAAATGTTAGATATTATATATTAAATAAACAATAAAAATAAAAATAATAGATATAACATTTAAAAGAAACAAATTGTAGACAATGAGAAATTAGAACCAAAGCTTAGACTGGAGATGGGACAAAAGGCATATATTTACATAAAATATTACAAGGTAAGGTTATACGAGCCTAACATAAAAAATACACGGGTTGCATGGAGTTTGCATGTTCTCCCTGAGCATGCTTGGGTTCTCTCCGGGTACTCCAGCTTCCTCCCACAGTCCAAAAACATGACTGTTAGGTTAATTGGCTTCTCTAAATTGTCTTTAGTTGTGTGCATGGCTGTGTTGTGACAGACTGTCACCTGTCCAGGGTGAACCTGCCTTTGGCCCATAGACTGCCAGAGATAGGCACCGGCCCCACCGGGACCCTGAAGGAATAAGCAGGAGTAGATGGATGGATAAAAAAAACTTCATCTGAATATACTGTCCTGTTATAAAAAAATCAGATTCACCTAAAATATGAAAAGAAACAATTTAAATACAGTTGATTAAATAACACGACACATAGTTAATAAGTATCTTTAAACTAAATCTCATACCCAAAGAGCCAACAAGCAACGGTTTCACCTCAGCTGAACCACATGAGGATTTAATTTGGTTCTGCAGAGAATATTAGGAGGCTGAATGACTTCTTTGAATTAAAAAGTATATATATATCAGTGTTCTAAGTGAGTTACGACTGATAGTACTATAATATATTCTAACCTATTCATACTGTGGTAATGAGTATGGCTTCCTCCGCTTTCCGTTTCAGCTTTTATTTTGAAAGGTAGAGGAAGTATCTTCCTTCCATCTGATTGTTTCCAGCTTTAGTCTGCAGCAGCGCAGCATCCAGCTCCAGAGCTCCGCTCAGAGAAAACACTCCACACTTCTTCTCTTCCCTCTTCTCTGTTTCGGCTCCTCTGTTTCTATTAAACGGCTTTTTTTCCAACAGGAATTTTTTTTTTCCTTCTAATCTCTGTGGAGCAGACGGACTTTTAAGAAGCTGAGAGCCCAGAGGAGGTCCGGAGGATGAACCCTCAGTGCGCCCGCTGTGGGAAGATCGTCTACCCCACGGAGAAAGTCAGCTGCCTGGACAAGGTGGGAGCGCACACTACTACCTGATCTCTACTGGGGTTAGAGATATAAGGATAACAATTTTATATATATTAAAATGATTATTTCACTTGGTCATTTTAGACATTATGAGTTTGTCTGGGACAGGAGTTAGAAGAGGAAACATTTCAATTCAGTTTATTTCTATAGCACCAATTCACAACATGTCATCTCAAGGCACTTTACAGTTCACCAGATCATCCAGTCAGATTGATTCAAAGTTTTCTATCTAAGGAAAACCAGTTGATTGCATCGACTCATTGACTGGAATGCAATCCCTCACACTAAGCATGCTCGTAGCGACAGTGGAGAGGAAAAACTCCCTTTTAAAAGGAAGAAACCTCCAGCAGAACCAGGCTCAGTGTGAGCGGCCATCTGCTGAGGCCGACTGGGGTTCAAGGAGACAGAAGCAGAGATAGAAAAAGCAGCTGTAAAAGGCGGCCCCGTCCAGGAAACACAGCCAGGCAGACGAGCTCTGAGCCAGCTCCCATGTTAGAGGATGGAGAGAGCCCATCCACAACTATAGAGATAGCTCAGGATAACCCGAGCCACCCTTACTATAAACTTTATCAAAAAGGAAAGTTTTAAGCCTAGCCTTAAAAGTAGACAGGGTGTCTGCCTCACGGACTAAAACTGGTAGTTGGTTCCACAGGAGAGGAGCCTGATAACTAAAAGATCTGCCTCCCATTCTACTTTTAGAAATTCTAGGAACCACTAGTAAACCTGCAGATTGAGAGCGAAGTGCTCTGTTAGGAACATAAGGAACAATCAGATCTCTGATATCAGATGGAGCTTGGCCATTTAAGGCTTACATATATAATATATATATATATATATATATATATATATATATATATATATATATATATATATATATATATATATTATAGTTATCTCTATAACAAAACGTACACATCTTTACATAAAGCAGATCTTATATATAAAAAGAAACCAAAAACTATGAAACTTGTTATGTGTCATTGTAGACAGACACTAACATTAAAATATGAAATTATTGTATATCAAATTAAATACATTTTAGGTTTATTTCTGACAGTATTACCAAAACAAATCTCCATAATATGTCTTATTAAACCTGTATCATGTGAAGTTTGTTTTCTTTTATTTTGACTCTTTCATTTATCTGTTAATGAATCCATGAGTTACTATTAGGGCTGCAGAAACACTGGACCTCTACTCCCAGACATCATTGGCTCCAAATTATACTAGAAAAAAATCCAAATCGAGTGCATTTGTTCTTGAATTGAGGAGGAAAGTGAGACACTTTGCTAATGAACAAGGCAATTTACATTTAAAATAAGAAAAAAACATTTGCATTGTCTCATTGCAGATTAGCTTATTTACCTCCTGAAATGAAGGCTAAATACACTTGATTTTCAACATTTTTACTTATTTCTAGACTGTTTTTGCAGTGTAGTTTTTGCTGTGCAGTAATTTTGTTTGAACTCTTGCAGCATTACGATGATCAATTATTAATTCAACTTCAACAGTTTCATGCGATCTCTGTCTGTTCTGTGAGGCATCAGATGACACAACAGCATGTAGGCACTGCTCAGAATATTACCTCCCACCTCTCATCCTCAAATAACCAAGATTATATAGTTCCTACAGTAAAACCCCACCTCTGACTAAAGACTTAAACTCAATGGGCAGAGCACTTTTTTTTAACCCATGAGTGTTTTTTTAAAATGTGGGTCTCAAAATAAGAAGGATTGCGCTTTTACATTAGGATGGACATATTTGGTGGGCGGCAGAGATTTAAAGACGGAGGAGGTTGGCAGAGAAACAAAGTGAGAATCAGAGTGTGAACGAATCTGAATCCCTTCTGTCTGAAAATCAATTCAAACCAGATCATTTTTAAGAGCATCAGTCTCAGTTATGAGCGTTAAAA